GAAATGAAACCAACAACATTTGTATGTACTAAAGACTAAGAATATTAGAAGCAAAAGAATGAGTATAACATTGATTTATATGATTCAAGTTAAAACAAGATATGTTGTTACTTCTGGCAACTCTTTATTGACTTTCTGCTGACATGAGAACTAAAAACTTACAGTTTGTTTATAGAGATGGGAAGAGATGGGATGTGGGAAGAAGAGATAACTGTTGATAACCTCAGAGGGAATGGTTTTTTTTTAATACTGTGATGAATGTTGGAAGTTTCTTTTTATGTATTTCTTTTCTTTTTATTATATTTGTCCCTCTTTTTTCCTTTTCCTTTTTACTCATTTTTATTCTCTTTTCTTTCTTGAAGTTTAATTTATATTAAATGTTACTATTATGAATAATATTATGGTAATTAAAAACAGTATTGGGTTCCTGCAAGTTTACTTAAACATTTATTTTAAAAAGAGAAATTTTACACTGAACTTTATATTGAAAAGTCCCTGGATATTGGTTATAATGTACTGGAGATTAGTTTGCTTCTGCCATTCCACTTAATTTAAAACATTTTTTTCATGCTCTGTTCTGCTGTTTTGGTGTTCCTAATTTGTTTCTATCATGTTGCTTCACTGTGTGATTAGATTACTTTCATGGCATACATTTTTTGCTTTTAAAATACTTTTAGTTGTTAAAGGAACCTTTACTCTTCAGAAAACTCATAGATATCTGTTCTACACCTTTAAATTATATCAAGAGATAGGAGAAATCTATCAAGTAAGATGTGTCTTTTTAGTGCAGACCTTGGAATGGACAAATTTAGTTTACATTTCCATTCACTAAATATATATCATATATATATGGCTTTGAATTGGCCACTGTGCTTCAACTAACCTTCTCGTAGACATTTATTTTCTCTCTGATAGACTTTAAGCTTAGAAAGCAATTGTCACTCAACTTTCTATAATCATAAAATACAAAATGTTAAAGACAATGAAAATAAGCATTTGTAACTTGTGTGAAATTTCCAAGGAATTTTGTAGTGCAAAAGCAGTGGAGCCATCTTACCTCTACATATTTTGCTATCTTCTGGACCTTTGATGCTCTTGCATTTAGCCGAAGAGTGACATGAGAGATTGGCTCCATTGATGCCTGCAGTAAAATGTAACAATGTCATTATAAAAAGAAGTTGAAGTCTTGAAATTTTACCCCAAAATGCCTTGAAGAAGTCCCACCAGAAGGAGTGAGAGCAGTTGAATAGCAATAAGGGCAAGCTTCTCTTTGGCATGTTGCAGAGTTATGGAGAAGCAACTCCTGGAATTCTTTAATATTGTAGTGGGAATTCTGGAAAGGCAGCCGTAACATGTGGAGGAAGCCTACTATGGTTTGTAGTAGGGCATCTATAACCAGCAGTTCCTCTCACCCCCTTAGGGAATAGTCTCTCCCAGAGGCCAGACTCGGACATCTTTTCACAAAATGATCACAACAAAGATTCGATATTTTTTGTTGTATTCTGAGCCATCCAGGATTGTTTGGGGATAGGTAACGCCTGAACTGAATACCTAAAATAAATTAAATATTGGTTGACATTGGTACGGGAATTATTTACGCTATGAAGCTTGCCCATGAACTTTCCTTTAATTGATTTTTTCCCAATTGCTATTTACTTTTCTTTTATTGTAGGTTGGTTTTGTATTTTATTGCAATGAACTGCCACGAGTCAACAAGTATAGGCCTTTCCCAAGTCAGTAAGAATGGAAAGAACCACTGCTTTTTAGTTGTGTTTTCCCCCCTAAACTATTAGTTGTGATTCTGGGTAAGAATCAAAAGGCCACTTTGCTAATTTGAACAGTCTTAAATCAGTTGGGCCATCTTACTTATAGTTTTTTTTAATGACCCTGTAATCCTCTACTTAAGTGTGGGGTCGGGATGGCTGAATGGAGCTGAGTATTTACTGGCTAGATGCCCTTCCTGATGCCTATGTGGAGTTCACAGTAGATATTTTCTCTTTGTGCCTTGATAAACATCTGTCGCTGACTATGATTGAACTCTCAATCTTCTGAGTGGGAAGCGAGCATCTTCACCTGTAGGTCACTGCGCTGATCAACTCATAGTTGCTAGGCTCTAAATTAAGGATTTAGAAATGCAGATGGGGAAGATCATCTGGAGGCTCAGATTACTGGCTGAAGTCAACTTTAGGATGGAGAAGCAGGAATTTTGCGGTTGAGACTGGCAGGTTGGATAGACAGCTGGTGGCTTACAAGAGCAGGCAGCTATACTGTGGTAAAGCTTCACTGAAGATTTCAAGCAGAAGCCAGATCAGTTTAGGCTCTTAGTTTTAGATGTCCTATTTTTCTTTAGCATAAGCAAATCCATATTGTTAATGTTAATGCTGTTTGTGTTATAGGAATCATTCTGNCTCCCTCCCTCCCTCCCTCCCTCTCTCTCTCTCTCTCTCACACACACACACACACACAGAGTCTGGGCACATAGAGGGTGGCAGTAGTGATAGAGCTTGCTTTAGCTCTCCGCCATCCCAGAACTGTGCCGCACCAGGGAGTTCTGCGTGGATGCGCCCAGCAGCAGCACGGGAGCAGCAGTGGGGGGAGAGCTTGCCTTGGCTCTCTGTCATCCCAGAATTGCACCGCACCAGGGAGTTCTCTTCGGATGTGCCCGGCAGCAGCGGCAGTAGTGGCAGTGTGGGGAGATGTTGCCTTGGCTCTCCGCCATCCTGGAACTGTGCCACGCTGGGGAGTTCTCCTGCGTGGATGTGCCTGACAGCAGCAGCTGCAGCGGTGGCAGCAGAGCACACCCTGCCTTCAGGGGCCTGTTCTCCCAGCCGAATCAATTGCAATAGGGATTTCTGTGTGGACGCTCCTGGCGGTAATGTGCTCAACAGCAGGAAGACCCAGCGCCCATTCCTTCAAGTGGTAGTCCCTTCAAGCGTGATTGAAGCACAATCCCAGGCAGTCAGTTCTGACTCTCTCTTCCCCAAGCATGTCCCGTTGCTGCTGGAGCCGCTTTGCTGAATCCGGCGCAGTGGCAATGGCAAAAAGTGGCTGCCAGCAAAGTTCTCAGCGATGGCAAGAGCCCTGCCTCTGTGCAGGGTTCAGCAAAGCAGCTCCAGCAGCAACAGGAAATGCTTGGGGAAGGGAGAGCCGGAACTGATTGTCCGGGATTGTGCTTCAGCCACCACTGTGAAAATGTCTGTTTTGCCAGGCGCATGAGGGAAGGAAAGAAGCCGGTTATTGGAAAGAACCTTCCCTTCCCCTCCAGAGAGCCCATGCCAGGAGAGAGGAAGGGGCAGGCTGGTTTGAATGTGGGCGAGCAGGTGGTTTGGGATCAGCGCCTCCTTCACTCATTCGGGCAGGCGGAGAAAGGAAGGAGGCATGTGATAAAGCTGACTGACCCAGAGCCCACCCAGATGCTCAAAGAGGAAGGATCGGCAGGAGAAAGCCAACTGCTGCCAGCAAGGGGGCACAAATGAGCAGCCACCCAGCAGCTCCCCATCCCATTGCAGACACTCAGGTAGCCCCTCTGCTGCCTCTAGCCCCACACAACCTCCCCGCCAACCTACTGACCTTGGAACACTCTGCTGGATGGCCTCTCCTTCGCATCCTGTTGCCGGCTGCAGCCACATCTGGGCAGGTGCTGCGCCCCCAGAGCAGTCACATAGCAGTGCCACGTGGTCTGTTGACCATCCCAGGGCCCAGCCGGTTGCTTCTGGAGGGGGCAGTCAGTTAGGCAGCTTTCCCCCACATCCCTGGCGGCTGCAGCTTCAGAGTCTCAGCTAGGTGGGCAAAGGAAGTGAGTGGGCGGAGCAAGCATGGTGTGGATGGGTGGTGCGAGCGACCAACGACTGGGGGGAGTGAACTGGGGGGGCAGGTCAGGGGACGGAGCATTCCAGTAAGGGGCCTCCGGAAGAACAGGTACGGGAAGGCACCCTAAATTGCACCATCTGGTACGCCCATACCAGTGCGTACCAGCTGAAACCCAACCCTGAACTAAATGCTGAAAACTGTATTATAGAATTTTGACTAAATTGAAGCCCTTCTTAAGTCTACTACAAAATAATAATTTAGCATATTTTCAAATGATCTCCCCTTATCTTATAACTTTTAAAAATATACCATATTAATATTTACAATATCAAGACACCTAATTCTATATCCAATCCCCCTAATTAAATTTTGGATTAATAAGTAGCTGAATTACACTCTATACATTTCAGATCTGATCAATGTAGTTTTCTACCATCCAGTGTCAAACATAAAAAAGATATGAAATAATTTTGCAACAATTTTGCATTAAGTGAAAGAGCACAGTATCCAAAGATGTTCATTTGTCATACAACTCATTTATTTCTAATTAGTTATGTCAGGGATTTGCAATGAAGACGATTTACCTTTTTCATAATTTAAACAATGGAGATTTTGAAGCAGTTATTTCTATCAGGACTGAATTTGTTTCATACTCTTACTCACAAAGTAAATAAATATAGATTATTTCCCTCTTTGCCTTCTTTAAGACTAAGCTGCACTTAGAGCCTCAGTATTTCTAGATAGCATGGTATATATTAAATGACATATAAAATTATACATTCTATAATAACTCAGGGAAAAAAGTTTACTCCTTTTTAAGGCATTTAATTTTTTAAAAAGTGAAATTAAAGAATAGAAGATAAAAAACAATTCAACAAACCAGCCCTAAATAGAACTAAAATTTCTGAAATAGGTAAGAAAAACATCAATAGTTTCTAAATTTGAAAAAAATCCCTCTCAATAAACATGTAAGCATCTACCTATGCATCCGGGCAGCATCCAAACAAACATCTATTTTCTTTATATAAAAAAATCTTAAAATTGAATGAATAGCATCAAATTTCAGAACAAAATTTAACATGCATCCCTGCCTTCCTTCATAAAATGACTAGCTAATTATTGTTAATTATTATTTACCACCATTTCTTAAAGACTTAATGTTTATAAATCCGTAAATTAAAGTTCATACAAGGAACATTGTTTTCTTTAAAATTATATAAAACAGATATTTTAACAATAAAATATGGGAAGGGTGTGGAAGGAATTTTTCATTTCTATTATTTAGTTGTAAAGAACTGCAGTAGCTGATTAGGAAATGACATCTGACTAATGATTTATTAGTATAAGAATGATGTGTCCAGATAAGTACTATCTGTCAACAATACTGATTAACAATGATATTACATTTACATTCCTATAAGAAAAGCATCTTCAGTGTGTTGAAATATATAGTCTTGGAGCTTCAAGATTAGAATTCAAATTAAAGTGTCTAAGGCGGTGCTGTATCCAAAGTCAATTTTTGGAATAGTAATTTGATTAAACCAATGCACAGTTCCACCAGTATTTGAACAGAGGACTGGAAATATTTCAAATAAGCTATATCAGTACATTTAAAAGAATGAGTTTGTAGAGGTTAAATATTCCAAGTCCAAGCCCAGGATCAAAAAGACTACTACTTTTTCAGGATCCTTTTAGCATCCTTTTCACTTCTTTTGGCAAAAAATGCATGTTCTTTCTTCTTGTGTTTACAAATATACTGTTCTTTCCATTGAAATCTTTATTTTAGAGAGTTTGTATCTCCGACTTTCTTGCACTATTGATCTCCAGTTGCTGTTGATTATAGCATATATGTTCCCTGACCCAGTTTGTACCAGCAATTTTAACCTAAACCTCAAAGATCATCTTTAACTAAGAAAAGTTCCAGCTTCTTTGTAATGAATGTTATCAGCCTTGAGTTTGAAGTGGTTTATTTTCTGCTAACGAGTTACCTGTAAAAATAAGATATTAAAAAAAGACAAAATCAAATTTAGATGAACAAAATAAGATTTATAATGGCACAAATCTATTTATGCATGCAAATAGCAATATGCTAATTATTAATAATGTGTATTCTAAAGCAAACAGATAAACCTGAAACTGAAACAGACACCAATAAGAAAAACAATGTCCTTAATTGTCAGGGGTCAAGGTATTTAGCTAGACAAAGGCCTGTTGAGATTATCCAAGATTTTTATTTGAGTATGCCATCTTGTGTTGAAATCTGGTATTCTCCACAAAATCTATTATGAGCACATCTTTAATTTATACAATTTATAACCTATTATTTACAAAGTGTCAAAAAACACAAAATATTACTTAACAAATAATATAAATTTATAATTGCTAAAAAACCAATCTTAATTATTAACAAAAGTTCTCATACATTTAATAATGTTATAATATTTCATAATTCTCAAACACTATTAGTTTCTAGTAAGAACTATTTTTCTATTGATTCTATTGGAATGATTATTTCCAATAGAGCCGAGGTGGCGCAGTGGGTAGAGTGCAGTACTGCAGGCCGCTTCAGCTGACTGCTAGTTCNAGAAACAGCATAATGAAATAAGAGAAAGTGTGGCAGGCCAAAATCATAAAAAGAATATAAATGCAGGCCTGACACATCTCTTTGAAAGCCGCGAACGCATGCGCTTCGCAGCTGCCCCAGCACCAGGCTGCAGATTGGTCGAGCAACCGATGCAGTGGCTCAACTAGTGACGCCTTGTGCGGCACAAATGGCGCGTAGAAGTTCAGAAGCCTCAGGAACGCCTGCAGCTCTGCCTTGGAGGAGGGGGTGGGGGTGTTCCTGATGGCAGCAACCTTTGAGGGAGTAGGGTGGATCCCTTGGGCATCAATCATGAAGCCCAAGAACTCCACCCTCGGCACAGCAAAGGAACATTTGCTGCGCTTCAATTTTAAGCCCGCGCCCCTGAAATGGAGAAGGACCTTCCTGAGCATTTTGATGAGTTCTGAGCGGCTGTTAGCAGCGATCAGAACATCATCAAAATATGGAACCACACCAGGGAGCCCATGGAGCAAACGCTCCGTGAGGCTCTGGAAGATCCCCGGGGCCACGGAGATGCCAAATTGGAGGTGGTGACAATGGAAAGCCCCACGATGGGTGACGATGGTTTGGGCGGCCACCGCATCGTCATCCACCGGGAGCTGCTGATAGGCCTGTGCCATATCCAGTTTTGCAAAGGTGCAGCCCTGCCCCAAGGAATGGAGCAGGTGCTGCACAACAGGGACTGGATAGGGGTTTGCCTGGAGGCGAAGGTTGATTGTTGATTTGTAGTCAGCGCAGATCCTGATGGACCCATCGGCCTTGACAGGGACCACAATTGGGATCTCCCATCACGAGTGGTCGACGGGCTCCAGGACGCCCTGCGCCAACAATTTATCCAACTCAGCATCAACCTTAGACCTGAGGGCAAAAGGCACCCTGCGAGCCTTCAGCCGAATGGGTGCAACCTGGGGGTCGAGGTTGAGGGAGATGGGGGTGCCCTTGTAAGAATCCAGCTGGCCATCAAAGACGTCCATGAATTCAGAGAGGACGTCTTCCAATGAAAGGGCGGAGCCAACCACCCAATGGATCCCTTCAATAGTTAACCTCAGGGGAGGAAACCAATCCAAACCCAACAGAGCAGGCAGGGGCTTTTGTACAATTAACACAGGCAGGCGGCCATGAAAGTTGCCATAATCAACCCAGATAGGGAAACAACCCAGGGTGGGAATAAGAGTCCCCTGGTAGTCTCTGAGGGACGTGTCAGCCGGCTGCAGCTGGTCATGGCTAACTTGAGGGCACAATCGCGCGAAGGTAGACCAGGAGAGTAGGGAGCGGGAGGAGCCGGAGTCCACTTCCATGCTGCAGGCCTGACCTTCTAGGCAAAGGGCTGCAGAAATCTTCTTCGTCCCTGCGGAGATCTGGCTGACAGTCTCCCCGAGGTCTTCGGGCAGGGACACCGTGTAGCAGTCTTCAGCCCGCCGCTGAGACTGAAGATATGGTTGGCGGTGCGGTTGAGGCTGCGGAACGGCAGGCAGCTGTAGGGAGGAGGGAGCTAGCAGTGAGGCACGACAGACCTGCACTAGGTGCCCTTTCTTGCCACAACGGCAGCACACGGAGCCCTTGAAGGGGCAAGCGGAGCGATTATGCTTGCCCCCACAGCCCACACAAGCTGAAGCGGCAGGAACGGCAGGCTGTGGTGGAGGGTGCCTAGGCTGAGCTCGGAGCAGGGCCATTTGATCATAGTTGGGCTCATCAAGTAGCACTAGCTCATCGACGAGGCAGGCACAAGCAGCAGGAGGAGGAAAAGGAGGTGGCTGAACTGCTCTGAGAGCTCAGCGGCTCTGGCTTCGTCCACGGTCTGCTGCAGGGTGACCTCCGGGCGTGCCAAAAGATGGTGTCTGAGGCGAGTGTCCTTGACGCCACAGACAAACTGCTCCACCAGGTTATCGTCCAGGTCCCCAAATTCACATTGAATCACTGCTACGCGCAATGACTGCAGGAATTGACTGACTGACTCTGCCGGTTTCTGCACACATTGGGGGAAAGCGTAGCGGTGGGCGATCCGCGAGGGGGTGGGAGCATAATGGTTTTTTAATTTGGCCATCAACGTTTCCCAGCTAAGCTGGTAGACCGGTCGAGGAGAAGCCAGAGGCCTTGCAGAGGCGAACATGGCCGGGCTGCAGCAGCTGAGGAAAAAGCTGCACTTCTCCTCAGGAGGCAGGTTGTGGTTTCTTGAGGCTATTAAGTAGCACTCAAAGCGCTCGAGGAACCCGACACACGACTCACTGGAGGTTCCAAATGGGGCGAATGGTGGCAGAGCTGCCATCTCTAGGTCGTGAGGTGAAGTGAGAATGAGGAATGAAGAGCCGACAGAAGCTCCATGGATTGTGCGTCTTTGCAGCTGACGGTCTTCTCGTTCATCCTAGGCACCGATCAATGGAATCGCCGTGATCCCACCTTCGTCGCGAGTTTAGTGGATCGGCGGAAGGACGAGGCAGGAGCCAGGACTGAAGAACGAGGAACGCTTTATTCAAGTAAGAACTATTTACAGGCGATTCAGCACCTTCCCTGCTTGACAGCTATTTATACGGAGCTGTCAAGCAGGGAAGCCAATGAGCATGCCCCTAGCGGCCCGCGCTTAGCCAAGCCGTGCCTTAACCAATCAGGGCGTGGCTTGGCTAGTTGCTAGCCGCTGGGTCGTAAGTTGAGGACTTACACATACTCATATCTTTTTAGAAAGCGTGCTAATTAGGGCCCAAATATGTGCTACATCTTTAAATCCTATGCAGCATGTCTCAGGGGTCAGCAATCATCAATATAGCCACTATTTGGTTTTTTTTTTCACATACCATCTTTCTGACCAAATGTATTTCCTGCACAATCACTCAAATGTGACCAAAGGACCAGTATGAATATTTGGACTAGCTGCAAAGCAATATGCAACCTTATTCTCATTTAGCTCATCAAGGTGATTTGTCCAAATTGCAGCTTATTTCAATGCCTTTGTTTAAAGCTTTCAATTTGCTTTGATCAACTACTTCGATCAAGGGAAAAGAGTGTTTTGTGCATGTTCATGTTGCTGCTTTCATCCAGGGAGGCACTTTGATCAAAGCGTCTTCAAATTGAAGTGCTGCTTCATAATTTGCACAGATCTAATTAATGGCTGCACTTTTACACTGATTGATTTTGCCTTCCTTTCGATTCATAGGACATAGGAAAGGCAAAAATGCTTGCCAACACACCCATGTTTCCCTGAAAATACGACCTACCCTGAAAGTAAGTCCTAGCTTGATTTCTACATGTGCACCCAATATAAGTCCAACCCCCTAAATAAGCCCTAATGAAGACTACACCCATTTCAGAGTGCACAGGTAAAAATTAAGCTAGGGTGGGATGTATAGCTGCTCTGCTATTTACCTTCAGACAGTTGCAGCCAGGCATCACACACCCTGACTTCTGCCTTGCTGGCCCATTTCTTCTGCAGACATCAAGGCCGGCAAGGCTTTCCTGAAGGCCTCTGCAGCCGATAACAGAGCTCCAGATTGATCCAGACCTCTGTTATTGGCTGCAGAGGCCTTTGGGAAAGCCTTGACAGCCTTGACAGCCACAGAAGTTCCTGAATGCCTCTGACAGCAAAAAGAAGGCCAGGAGTGACACACGCAAGTGAGGTGAATCAGTGGACAACACCCACCCCCAAAATAAGACCTTTTTTGGTGGCAAAAAATATATATAAGACTTTGTCTTATTTTGGGGGAAACACGGATAGTTACAATGTAATATGGGCATGATGATGATGAAGAAGATGATAAAGATGGTGGTCCCACACAGCAATGAGCTAATCTTGTATTGGCACTATAGAAAGGTGGGTGTCCTCTTGGAAATTGAAAAAGCATAGATGAAAATGATGATGGTTAGATCCAAGTCGTATCCTTCCAACATCAATATGATTTACATTTACATAACATAGATGGATCCCTAAACCTTTATTTCTGCTGGAACCTATTCATGTAAAGTGAAGGGATTTGATTGCAGATTGAACTAAGGAGAACTTAACCTTCACATTTTTTAAATGATGTTTTTGTATGCATTCACAGACTTTTTAAAAAGAAGAGTAGAGTTTTTTTAAGAAAAAAATTATGAAAACATGGGGAAGAAAGGAATGCAGATTTTTGATTTACTTCATACTTTCCAGTCTAATTGCTCCAAGCGTGTTGAACTTCAAGAATTCCTATCCAGCATCATCTTCCTAATCTGAGAACTGAAATCCAGCATATATGTAGTATGTCTGACAGTGTAAATTGCATGTGGAAAGGGGGGATCCTTTACAAGGAGGATTTTTTTTTAACAGCAGAAAGTGTTTTTATGGTATCTGTCAAATTTATATGGCTGTCCATTTTATCTGAAGTAATTTTGGACAGCATAAAATCAAGAATTAAGACATGTTGT